CATCATCATCATCATCATCATCACCGTCATCATCCTCAAAGACAGCATGTCATCGGTGTTGACACTGGTGCCTCACTGCCGTACATGCATCTACAAGCGCCCATTTAGTTTATCTGCAAAGAAACTCTGAGCACAAACGCTTCTGGCAACTCTGAACCAATCGTTTCTCACAAAGTCTCCTTGCAAGTGAACGAGGGTCATGAGGACCTCCACAGTGGAATGCGGGCTACAACAATAGCACCTAAATTCCTGGCCCTCTTTCCCATACCCTCCTGTAAAGTCGTACGTGGTTCCGTGGTGTAGTGGTCATCACGTCTGTCTAACACACAGAAGGTCCCCAGTTCGAGCCTGGGCGGAGCCACACCTTTTGTCCATCCATGGTGCCTGTCAGGTGTTGTTCACCTCGCCGTTTGGGCAGTTTCTGAAGGAGACACGAAGAACGACCCTTCTCTCCGTGGATAATAGTTTGGCATGTGTAGCACGTGACCGAGCCACCTTGGTTGGTGGTTCTTGAGGTTGTCCGCATTACCGAACATCAACGAGATGAATCTTTGCATATACATGTGCGGTTCAAGTAGAACGGAATGCTGAAGAAAGCTCGTGGGCTGCGCATACTTGATGAGCCCCAAAAATGGCAAGACCGTTCCTGGGCTGTCGGATAGTTTCCAACAAGCTTGTGAGCAGTCTCCTTTATGAAAATATACTGCGATATTTCTAATCTCGTCCCAACTGAAATATGAGGCGGCCTGTGTGCAGCACCTTCAGTTGTAGAATATCACAAACGAGAGATTCAGTTGAGTCTCTCGTGAAAACCAAATTGATTTGTAAATGAGTGTATTTCTGGAAAACAGTCCAATTTGGGTTCAAGTAGATCATGAGTTGACGGAAACCCGGGGACCGCGCCTACCTGATGAGCCCAAAATGGAAGGGCGAAACCGGTCGTGGGCTGTCGGAGAGTTTCCAGCAAGCTTGTGAGTAGTCTCCTTTATGAAAATATACTGCGATATCTCGAATATCGTGCCAACTGAAACATGAGGCGACCGCTAGAAACCGCTAGGTCTTTCATTCAGACTTCACGTGCATGTTGGAAGCATAGAGGTCGGGCGGCACTCCACCGTCACCCGCTTCCGATGAAGACGATTCACATTCCGTCAGTCTGCGTTTTGGACAGCTCAGCCGCTTTGGTAATGGCCGTCTTCCCGGATGTTGACTGTGGGTTTGGACACATTGATGGTTAGTGACCCTAACAGATGTGTCACACAGCTGATGGCACTCTTTTATTGAAACTATCATTTTTACTAGGTGGTCTCAAGTTTCCGCGACACCGGGCAAACAAAACCGGTCAATTCACGCGCCATCGCCTCCAACGCGTGGCCCCCGTTCCCCTAATCTCTCTCTTCGGTGAACGAAGCCGTAGCAGCTAGAACCAATGTACCTCAGTTGCGGGTCTGTTTGAAACATCAGATAAGTACTACTGGGGTAAGCCAGACTGTTTTCGGGAGAGTTCATCCCCCCTCGGTAGATCAGCTGTCCACACTCCGTAGGTTGCTGTGGTCAGGCCATGAACCATACACACTAGAAGACAGTGTGCCCCGTGGAGCTGAATTCGCTCAGTCTTGTAGGATGGAGACGATCGAGTCCATACATTGGCGACGGAGCGCATAAAGCCCTCGCCACTCAAGAAAGTTGTTTTGGCAACTACACTTTCCCGGATGGAAACAATACGAGATAATCAACAGTTAGTGACTGGAAGAGGTGAATCTATCACGCAACCGATAGGACTCCTGCATCAAAGCTACCTCATTTAGTGAGTAGCCCTCACTTCCTGTCATACTGGTGTTTGACTCCAGTGCATAGATTGGGATATCGCAGCCAAGGTGTAGCTTTCATCTCATCAGTAGCCATTGCACTTTGGAGCACGATTTTTGAACAGAGAAACTGAAATGATACTACCGAGTCCCGACTTCAACCTTCAGATTTCCTGGAACGAAGAGATTTATTTTTGGGAAACTATCCAAGAATCCTGTTTTACACCATTCGTCTTGATGAAATGGCATATGTGCACAATTTCCAAGATGGAGTCTGGCAATCAACTTGAAAGTGTTCGTGAAGGGACTTGACTCCGCTCGTGGAAAAGGGAAGTTCGCAACGCCAACCACTCATTTGCCTGGGCCCTGAGGATTGTGAAACCACTTAAGTGTGATAAATCATCGTGAAATTCGCGTAAACACCATATATATGCTCACTCATGGTACGTCCTACTGGATACCAGTGTAACGGTGATGCTACTAATGGAGGAGGCATGCAAGTAGTGTGTTTTCTTCTTGTAGATTAGCTTTGCTCTCTTCAAAAGGGAGATTTTTTGCGGACCTTGTGTATTTGCTTTGATTTGAGCAACACTCAATGAATATCCAGGAAAGTTCAAGAAGACGCGTTCAGGAGAAGATAGATGTTCAGTTTTTGTAAACAAGTTGTATATGAGAGTTTTGCCTCCCTGCCCAATAGTCTGCAACTGGTCAGTTGACATTTTCTAATAAATAACTCCGCAGCGAAGGCCTTCTTCCTTCCACTCGTAACCTATTTTAAATATCTCCACCGCTATTTAAATTATATTTTTAATTATATAAAATGTCTAGGAACTCGGGCAACATTAGGCTCGGAGAGCATCAGGAAGGTCAGATACCTGAAGGCAACCCCAGGACGCCCGGAACCCACTGAGACCATGAAACTTCACCAACATCTCAATAGGAAAGCCGTTAAGCATCTAGAATTGTCAAGCGTCCAATCAATTTAGCAAAA